CTTCCTACGCTTGAAAATTTCCTTTTTAGGAAATTTTTGAGTTGTTTACTTTTTTTTCGTCTTCTCTTTTCCTTTCTCTCTATGCCCTTTCCCCATACCTCTTTATTTCCCTTCTTCTATTTCTCCCCTCTCTTCTATATACTTTTTCTTTTTACTTTTATCCCTCCCTTCTATTTTTTCTCTTTCTTCCTGTCGAAGCTAGGTTTTTCTCTTCTCCCTGAAGGTTTTCCTCCCTAGGCCTCTCTCTCTTTTGAAAACTCCGTCTCCATAACATCACTCCTCTGGCTAGTGAACTCTTTTTTCTCAGGAACCATATAAGAAGCAGCAAGGTTTTCACAGGACATGAGCTATGGAAAGTTTTCCCTTCATGGCTTCTCAGAAAAAGGACGGATAGCTTACCCCTCCAAAAGATCAACATGGCTATCATTATCTAATCCGGTGTTGTTTACTTGTTGATAATTAGATTAGATACATCTAAAAAACTAGTGTACAACTATTATTATCCGAAAGTATCCAAGGAGTTGTGCCTTACAGTATCCAGAGTGAAATGGCAACCAATGCCAATGCAACTAGTATTAAGCTAGGTTAGTTGCAGATGTTATACTGGTGATTGGAGAACTTATTAGGATAATACATGACGACTAGAGATTCTAGTTATCCTTGCAATATGAGCTGGTGACGACAACGGAAGTTCCTTGCTCACCCCTCCGACAATGTAGGTCTATTGTACAAGGTTAGGTTCTGGTACTATTAAGAAAACCAATAAGAACTCCATCCATAGGACACTTCCGCTACATTTGAAGCATGAATATGCCAAATTCTTTTTGTAACTTGGAGGCAAACCTGTATAAAATAACTGCAGCGCCTTCATACAAAAAGGTACTCATTTCCTACCACCTCCAACATCACTCCACTTGCTGTATATCAAGTCATATTTGGAAAACAGGTGTGTCAATTCTAATTATAACTTAAAGGCCAATCTGTATAGATTGGCTGTAGTACTTTCATATAATTAGATATTCATTTATTTCTAGATATCTAGATACTATTCAAGGCAATAATATAAATTTAAAAAAATTTTTTTTTCTGTATTTCTTGAATGGTGCCAAAAAAGTATAAAAGTTGAACTTCTTTTGAAAGCCTTGCATTAAACTTTTTTTAACAAAAAGAAATATATATTATACTATTGATATTGTATCTTGTTTTATAAGTAAAAATATAATAAATATAATAAAATATAATAGCCATTTGCTTTTTTCAAAAAACAAAAAAAAAATAAACAAACTTTTTAAACTTGTTGTTTTTTAGTTAAAAGATTATTTTAATATATTTAAGATTTTTGTAAAAAAAATAAAAATTGTATAAAAAAAAAGATTGGATAATAAAAAACAAAAAAAATTTTAATTTCAAAAAAAAATTATTAAAAATAAAAATTTTCAAAAAAAAGTAATATGTAGAAAAATGTTTTTTTTTAATAATTAAATTTTGTATTTAATAATTATTTGTAATAAAAAAATATTTTATTTATATAGGATTTTTAAGTTACAATTGAAAATTTATTATATCTTTAAACAATTTACAGTAAATATAATTTTAAGCCAGTATTCACAGACGGGTGAGCTGGGTCGGGGAAATTTATACATACAATTTATATTTGTAATGGTTCATTATGATTTAATAAATAAACGACACCAACCTGATTGAGGGAAAAAAAAAAAAATAATAATAATAATTTTAAGCCAGTATAGTATATTATTTTAAACAATTGATTGGACAAATTTACTTCAACCAATGAAAATTCCCGTGTATGCAAATAAAAAAATTTTTCTTCATGATTTTGAATATTTTTTTACTTGAAAATGCAGAACGATCAAGGTCGTCAAATTGATCTTTATCAACCTAGGAAATGGTCTGTCGAAAAAGTTTTTTATCTTTTTTATATCTCGAATTTTATCATACACTTTATTTGACACGTGTGTAAAATTTGCTTAACGCATATCAATAGTTCCGCTACCAATCGTCTTATTACAGCAAAAGATCATGCGTCTGTTCAAATCAACATTGGTGAAGTAGACGATAAAGGACAATACAATGGCAATTATAAGACTTATGCTCTGTGCGGGTTTGTTCGCCGTTCTGGAGAGTCTGATGATTCTTTAAACCGACTTGCTACAGAAGACGGCTGTGAGTTGATTTCTTTATCTTTCTAACTAATTGTCTAATTTTTTATATTTAACAACATACTTTATTTATTAAGTTCTCAAAAAGTAAGTATATTACCGATATACACAAAATGAATTTGATAAGTCATTAATATTATTTTTTTACTTTCGTAGCGTATGGTCTTATCAACGCTAAGGGTATTCAAATAGTTATAAAAAAGATTTAATCTGGTAAGCATTAATACTATATAATTATATCAAAATGAATCAAGTTTCTTGAATAATAAAAAAGTTTGCACATTATAGACGAAAAAATATTAGTAAATATTTCTTCCAGTTCTTTGTTTAATTCAGTAAATAATACAACTATTGATTGTTACAGTATTTTTAAAAGTAATATTTTAAAAATTGAACTATGCATTAAAAAAATTATTTTTAAATAGAAAAGTGCGACTTTTTGTATAATAAGTAAAAGACAAATCAAATATTGTAATTCAATCTTTATAATAAAAAGATATTTTTTATACAATTATATTTTAAATTATAATATGATATTTATTAAATGAATACTTGATTATTATTGAAAATTTTTTATAAACTTTTTTTAATTATTTTATTTTCTTCAAAAATAAAATTATTAAAACTTTTTGTGATTTTTTTTAAAGCATTGTTTTTAAGTAATTATTTTTTTTTGAATTTTTTTTAAAGTGAATAAATATTATTTATTATTTATTATATTGCAGAATATATATTTTAAAATACATATTTATTATTTTTTGTAATATGTTTTTATTAATTTTATTTTAAATAATTTTTTTAGTAAACAAATATAAAATTGAAGTTTTATATAAAAATATTTTATTTATTATAGCTTGAATTTAAGTATATAGAATATAAAGATAGATATATAATATAATAAATATTTTTTAATTAAAATTTTAAAAAATTTATTAATTATTTCAATTAAAAAAAATTTTTTTCTTTTATAAATTTAATAAAAATAATAATATTTCTTAGATACAAAACATATAATAAATTAAATATTAGTACAATTATTATAATTATTTAATCAATACATTAAAATTTTAAACAATATATATATAATTAATAGTATTAAATAGTTATATAACTTTATTTAAAAATTTTTTTAAAAAATATAACTATATTAAAGAATTTATAAAATTTATAAAAATAAAAAAAACAATAATAAGAAAATTTTTTGTTTAATATATTTTGATTTTTTATAATTTGTTATTAAATTTTAAATTTTAATTATTATTATTATTATTATTAATCAAAACAATTGAGTTCAAATATTTTATTAATATAATGGAAAATATATACTATGTACTTACAAATTAAGTTTCTCAATTACTAGCATATATATGATCAATTACATCTTTATACTTTTTTTTTAATTCAACCTGTTTCAGTTTATTTTTTGTAATTAGAAGTCCTTATAATTATATATCAAATATTAATAATCAAACTTAAATAATTGCTTTCTCAAAATTTAAATCTACTTATGTTCTATAAAGTTTATTTGTCAATAATTGAGTCCAAATATTTTATCAATATAATAGAAAATATATATTATATACTTATAAATTAAGTTTTTCAATTACTAGTATATATATAATTAATTGTATTTTTATATTTTTTTTCTAGTTCAATTTATTTCAGTTTATTTTTTACAATTAGAAATTCTTATTATATACTGTATATCAAATATTATATTTAAACTTAAATAATTACTTTCTTATAAAATCCAAATATATATATTTTTTATAGAATTTACTTATCACTAATTCAGAAAATTAAATTCAAATATCTAATCAATATAATAGGAAGTATGCTACATATTTACAAATTAAGTTTCTCAATTACTAGTATATATACTATCAATTATATCTTTATACTTGTTTTTTACTTCACCTTGTTTTATTTTCCATAGTTAGAAGTTCCTATATTAAATATTTAATATTTAAACTTAAATAATTGTTTCTTTATAAATTTCAAATTTATTTATATTCTATAAAATCTACTTATCAGTTAATTAAAACAATTAATTCCAAGTATTTTATTAATTTAAAGTCAGTTTATTTACTTGTTTATAATATTTCTTAAGAACTGTTTTGATAATTTTTTATTATTACATAATTATTCAAATGACTTCCTTTTCAAATCATTTTTCTTAATAATTTAAAAACTTATATTCTATTGATATAATAATAGCTATTAGTTTTTTTTACAAGAAATTCATAAAAATACAAATATTTATATTGGTTTCAATTTTTCTAATACAATATATTTATCATGTGTCAATTTTATCAAATTCTTTTTATAATCTATAATTCTTAACAAACCAATTATAATAAATTTATCAATATTTCTTATTTATAACTATTTATTTTTGGTAAATGTTTTTTTAATCAATTTTGAATTTTTGAAATAGCCTTTTAATATTATTAGATCTCTTAATTATACTTTATCTTGAGGATGTAATTTTTTTTAAAGAAATAATTAGTATCAGAAATATTTAAGTTTTATTTCAATACATGAGTATAATAAGCTGACTATTATCTTGTTTTTATATGTGATTTCATTATAAATAATATTGCTAAACTATAATTATAAATAGATATTCAAATAAATAATCACATAATAGGTTTTATAAGATGATGTTCAAATTATTTTATATATTAATTTCAAGTTCAATATTAAAGTTTTGTTTTTATTTAAAATTAATTTTGATTCAGAGTTTGAAATATCACAAATTTGTATTATAATTTTAAAGAATTTTATTGAATAAATATTATGTGATTTATAAATAATCTATAGAACAAAATTTTGAATTATTTGATTTTTAAATATTCTGTATTATAGTTAGAGTAAAATTCATACAATACAATCAGAAACTTTACAAAAACAGAAAATAGCAAAAAAAGAAAATATATTTATAATAACTCTTATTTAGAAAAAAATAAAAAATAAAATAACAGTTATTAAACTTAAGAAAATTAAAGTATATATAGAAAACAAATACAATGAGTATGTAGATGAATTAACAAAAAAAAATAAAAGTTTGATTATACATGTATTATAGGCATAACTATCAATATATAAGAAAAATAATAATAATATTGCAATAGAATAGCAAAAACCTAGATATAGGAATTGATGATTTCATGAAACAATAACAAAATAGCAAATATAATATGAGTCCTATATTTTTGAAATATTTTAACTTTGTATTTTATCTTATAATTAAATAAAAAAATTATTAAATTTTTATAAAATTTTATTTAAATATATTTTAGAACTTAAGAATAAAATGATATAAATTTTATTAAAAAATAATTATTTTTTAAAATTTTAGATAATATATAAAAATCTATAAAAATTTTTTTTAAACTGTTACAAACAAATATATTTTTAAAAAAATTTATTAAGTTATTTTATAAGTAAAACTTAAACAAAAATCTTTTAAAAAACTTAAAGAAAATAAGTTTTAATTTTTATATAAAACAAATAAGTTTTTATGAAATAATAAAAAAAAAC